GCATGATGAATAGCAAAACCATAAGGTAATAAGTCCTTAAGTTCTTGATTTTTAACTTGTTCAGCTTCTGTTCTTAAAACTTCCATAGATGCAGATCCTTCTCTAAGAAATTGTCCTAATGTGTCTTTTTCCAAACACATATCTCTAATAGCACGTGCTGTTTTTCCTGTTTCTTTCCGCGAATGTACAAAAACAAGAACTTGATTTCTCCCAGCATGTTCCATTGTTTTTTCATATACAATTTCATTCATTACTTGAAAACGTTTCAATGCTTTTTTTTCTGTTACACCTATATACTGTTGCTCTAAAGCAACAGGTCTGAAACTATTATCAAAATAAAATAAACCTGATTCTGGTTTTATACGTAAAAATGCAGCAACATCTTGATAATTTGGTAATGTTGCTGAGAGACCAATTAATCTTACATCTTCCTGTGTTGTTTCAATATTTCTAATTGTCCTAGCAACTAAAGCTTCTAAAACTGGTCCTCTCTCATCATGTAGCAAATGAATTTCATCGATAATAATCAATCTAACCAATGAAGTAAAGGTTTTTTCACCTCCTTTTCTTGTTATAATATCCCATTTTTCAGGAGTGCATACAATAACTTGAGTTGCAGCTATCTGTTCTCTTGTTAATTGATGATCACCAGTTAATTCTGATACAGTTAAATTATACGTGGATAATCTTTTACTGAAAGTTCCAACCATTTCTTGTACTAAAGAACGCATTGGTGCAACATAAATTATTTTAAATTCATCTGCATTTATTGTACTATCTGCATTTATATGTTTTCCAATTTCACGCATCATACATAAAAGGGCAACATTGGTTTTACCAGCACCTGTTGGTGCACATAGTAATAAATTTTCATCACTGTCTAATGCAGCTTGATACAAATGACTCTGAATTCTATTTAATGTTTTAAAACCTTCAAAAGCTGGTTGCACATATTTTGGTAATTGATCAATAGGATAAAGTTTCTCATTTTCTGCAAATGGTTTTGGTTTCAAAGCAGGTACATGAACTTCTTCATATCCTTTACGCTGTTTTCTAAAACTTCCATCAGGTAATTGACAACGTTTGTTTGCCATAAAATGACTACCTTGTGCAAATATTAGATCTTCTAGATCTATCAGATTTCTTGTACCCTGAACTTGACCACCTGGACCTCCAGTATCTTCATTTTCTTCTCTTCGTTTACGTTGTGCTCTTGCTTCCATTGTTTCATCAGCATCATCATCACCTTTACCTGTATCTAACTGTCGTAAAATTTTTGCTAATACAGGATCATCATTCATTTTATTTCGAATTTTTTGACGTTCTGACTCAGACTGTGAAGATGCCAACATAGTGCAGTAAGCAATTGTATGTCTATATTTCTTGAGTTGTTTAATAAAATCAAAACAATCATATCCTAATAGAAGTACTAATTGATTTTCACAGTCACGATCATCTCCAGCATCCTTTAAAACTGCTAGTACTTCTGCAGCTCTTGCTTGTGAGACCATTGCATCATCATATATTCTGCTTAATCTTCTTTGTAACCAATATGCGTCTATATCCAAAGGATGTAATGGCTTCTCTTTTTTCATTTCTTCTGCGCCACCTAAATTTTCTGCATGAATAGCTCTATCATCATTAGCTTCTTCACCTTCATCACCTTCATCATCATTTTCTCTAACTTCTCCATAAACATCTTCATCATCTTCTTCACTACTTTCTTCAAATTGTACATTAATTCCATATGTTTCATCAATATTTTCTTCATTTGTAGTAGTCTTCTCATCATTTCCAAAATCTGTTATCTTTTTTCCAAGATTTACTAATAATGCAAATCTCTCTTCAGCTAATGGACCTAATAATAATTCTGTTTCTTTTTTCTTTTCTTTTTCTTTAAGTCGATCATTCTTCAAAACTGCCAATACTTCATCAGCAGCACCACAAAGAATATCTCTTGGTTGATCACCTAAAGCTTCTTGAATAAAACTTAATAATACTTCATAAGTTTGTCGTGTTTCTTGAGTTTTAGGACGATAAACAATTCCTACCATTTCATCTACACCTTCTGAAAGCAATGTTGCACCTTTCATTCGTGTAAAGTCATATTGAGCTTCATCTCGTTTTTGACGTTTAACTTTTCGTTCCTCTGCTTTTCCTGGCTTAGTACGTTGTGCTCTATCACCCATTCGCGTTCCATCAAGTTTGCCAACAAGTGACATAACCTCACCAGTAGCTTCATCTCTACTTCTTCTTTCTATTAATCTTACATCAGCTTGTAATACAAGATTAGAATTAGCTTTATATTCATATTGCAACTGTCTTGCTGCAGCGTCTGCCATAATTATTTTTTTCTTTAATCAAAACGATACAAATTATTATCTATTTATATCTCCTTTTTATAAACTAAGAATAATTTTCACACATAATTATAAAACATTACAAATTATAAATATTTTTATTAAGATAATATATTTTTTTCACTTAATAAATGTAACTTTATCACTTTCTTTATTAAATTTACGATTATTCGATCTTCGAACAATTTTAACGTAGCTATCGCGTCTTTGATATACGCATGAAATCTTCCTTACCAATTAGAAAATAGAATTTTCTGATTGGTTGTAATTTAAAGGTTAATTTCCATAAATCATTTTATTTGTAAGAAATATGAAAATGTTTTTTATTTTACCAAAATAATTTATTTAATATAATATTTGCTCTTTAATATAATGAATAATACAAGATAATTCAATTATAGAAAGTGAAAGAAAAATCTTTTGATTTTTTCCATTGAATTTTTGAACAGAAGTTTTTATTCTTCTCTGATGCGATGCGATATGAAAAAAAAATTATACCTTTATACTTGTGTAATTCTATGGCAATATTATCAAAAAAATTTCCTCTGTAGATAAAATAAGAAAAAATAGTATAATTGTGAATTAATTATATCATATTATATGACATTGAAATAAGTGGAAAATCAATTGACGTATTAATTGTATTATTTTTTTTCCACTTTTTTCCAAAAAAATTTTTTTGGCAAAAACATTGCTTAGGCAATCTTTTATATAGGCAATATTTATACATACAATAATTTATTTTACATATATTTTATTCATGACATTATGATATATAATTGATTAGTAAAATTTTCAACAATAATAAATGAAAAATATGATTATATGATTTAGACCATAAAGTGCAATAATTTTATTTATAGCAAATAATATTTTGTTTAAATTTCTATACAATAAAATTTACATGTATAAATTCAAATATTTTTGGAAAAATATTGTAAAAATTATAACGAGTATCGTATAATTATAACTAATAAATACTAATAACTAATAATTTATATTATATAGTTTTGAATACATTCGAAAGAATCAAATTAAATTATATTCATCTTTACGTATAATTACGTATATTTAACATATATATTTAACATAAATTTATTATATTTATTTAATTAAAAATATAAATATATGTATATAATTTATGATATATTTCTAGAACATTTTTTTATAAATTTATTTATTTATATTATATTTTATTTATTTAATCATTTTAATTTTATCATATTTATTTATCTATTAAATTAAAATAAATATATCATGATTAAAAGTATGTCATCATATTATTAGTTATATGTACATACATATATCTTTAATTTATCTTAAATCACTTTATATACTTATACTTATATTGATTAAAAATGAAATTACATCAGTTATAATGGACATTACTTTAATGAAAGGTTAAAAAAATAATTATCTATATATTACAAGAAATTCTCGTAGAATAATCGTAATTTTTTTAAAATAATCGATAAGAAAGATAATATCGTTATTTATTTTTAATTTTTGTTTTATTCATTAAATGATACTGAAACGATTACAATTTTAATATCAAAAAGAAATATTGTAATATTTTTTTGCATATAAATTCTATCTTTTCTTAAATGATTCTTAAGTGAATATTAAAAATTTATAATTCAATTTCATTTTTTTGTCTTTATTTTCTTATTAAAATTTTTTATTTTATTATTATTTTATTATTTTTCAATAGCAAAAAACAACAAGAAAGATAATATTATAAATTAAAAAAATATAAAATTTAATATGTATAATTAAATTTTATATTTCAAATTTAATACACAGTATATTTATTTATTCATAAATATATCAATGCATTAACTTATCATTAAAATTTATTTAAAAATAAATAAGAAATATAAAAAAAATAAAATAGAATAGTAAAAAATGAAAAATATTATGATTCACAAATATATGATTCACAATTATTAATTATAAACTGATCATACAATGTACAATTTTTTATTTTTTAACTTATCACGATATGTTAAGAGTGATAAATGATTTTATATCTTGATAGTTTTTTAAAAAATTCTAACGAATATATAAAGGTAGAAAAACAAAATCACATCACAGTAAGGAAAAGAACACAATACGAGAATATACGCCTTCATATCAATAATGAAAGGTAAGATAATTATAACTGCAATTGTAATTGTAATTACAATAAATTCATACATGTTTTTATACAAGTCGCTAATAAAAAAAATGAACATTATATGTTCATATATATTTCACTTTCATTATAAATAAATAATTCTATTGAAACTAAAATCTCTTTGAAACTATTCTTGTTTTTTAAAAATTTAATTAGTTAAATGTTAAAACATAATCTTTATTCAATTTTATTCAGAAAGAAAAATTTATGACTTCCTTTTATGAAAAAATAAGAATTTTCTTTCATTTTTAATTGTCAATGGTTAAAAGAACAAATCTAAAAATGCAATTTTAATATTCTTGATTTTCTTATTTTGTCTTCTGATTTGATCAGAAGAATTATTTTTTAAATTTTTAGACACTTATCAATTACGAGGCATACATATTATGATATTTATTTATTTTATATAAAAATTCTGTCGAAATTTATAATGTTACATTAATTTAATAAATTGCAAAATTTAATATTAACCAAAATTTTTAGTGGTTCTAGCAATACTAGCAGTATTTGCTGCAATTTTTGTGGCTTTCGTTTCCGCCGAAATACCAACTAAATGCCCAGAAGTAAATGGAGAAGATGTCGTTCTACTTCCGAATCTAGATGATTGCTCAACCTACTATGAATGCAACGGAGGAGAGCCAGTTTTAATGGAATGTAGTATAGGACTTGAGTACAATCCTGATTTAAGAGTATGCGATTATCCAAATCTCAATGCAGTTTGCAAACATCGTCCGGGAGTCAGTCCAGCACCAAGCAATCCTGATTCTCAACATCGACCCTCATCCAGTGAACGACCCTCATCCAGTCAACGACCTTCTAAACCACCACGTCCTACACCACCATCATCCAGTTCGAAACCACCTAGACCACGTCCTACATCCAATCCGAGACCATGTAAACCAAGACCATGCCGACGACCAAAACCATGCTCATCCAGACCAAACCCTCCATCCCACCATTTACCTACCTCATATTCTTCTAATTGGTGGCCTCTTCCACGAGAATACTATGAAAATGTATTATCAAATGAAGAATATGAAAATGAAGAATATGAAAATGAAGAATATGATTATGATTTAGAAGAATAAGATGAAGAGTAATCTTGGCACAACTTGTTAATGTTATAGGAATTGAAATTTATCCAAAATATATTAAATATTAAAATATAATAAATATAATAAAAATATTTTTTTTAAAAATGTAATAAAATTGATTGAAACTGTAATAAATTTGCACTTTTTAAAATTTAATTTTTATATTTTTTTTGTTTATTCCAACCTTTTCAAATTTAAAAGATTCAGTTTTATATTCTATATTATAATAAAGTAAGAGAAAGAAAGATTAAATTTAAAAAAAATATTGACCGACACAATTTATTATTTGTTATAAAAATATTAGATTAAATTTTTTATTGTTAAAATTTATGAGATTAAAAATATTAAAAAATTTAATAGGTTCATTTAATTTCACTGTTGAAAGATTTATATATGATATTATACATGTAATAGATGCCTTTTAATTATATAGATACAATATGTATAAAAAATGGTATTATACATTATAGTAAAAAGAAAAGAAAAAAATATAATGAAATCTTATTGAATAAATAGAATATAAATATATTTAAACTTTATCTCATAAACTATCTATTAGATAATAAAATAAGATAGTAGAAAATTAGTAGATAATAAAATAAAAATTAAAGTAAAAATATTAATTCAATGAAAAATCATAGTTTTATTGTTTATCAATTAAATATGATATAATTTTATTGACGATTTCGTAAGATTTCATTTATAAAGTATTTATATATGTGTATATTTACTTACGTATATATATATATATATATATATATATATATATATATAATATATTATTATATATATATTATATATATATATATAATAATATATATATATATA